TAACAATAATATCATTATTAATGATAATGATAACAGAATTAGTAATAATGATACTAATGATAGTAAAAACAAAAAAAATGATAATAATAATAATGATGATAATAGTAATAATAATAATTATTATTATACTGATGATAACATTGATGATGATAATATATATATAAGAATAATAATATAATAATAATAATAATAATAATAATAATAATAATATAATAATTAATAATATAATAATAATAATGATAATCATCATCATCATCATCATCATCAGCAGCAGCAGCAGCATTAGTAGTAGTAATAGTAGTAGTAGTAATAGCAGCAATAGTATTAACAGTAACAATAATAATAAAGTAAGTGAAATGTGGCGCGCATATCCGTAGATTTCGACGGCGATGGCTTCCTCGGCGAGTCCGACCTCCTGCACGCCGTGAAGCACCTTTCCCACGACCTACTCACGCCCGATGAATACAGCACTATTGTCGCTAAGGTACAGTCAAGTGCAGGCTTTCTTCTGAAATATGAATCATGAAGCATGCATCACTGTTTTTTTTCCCAGTTTCTAGTATTATTATAATCATTAGCATTATCACATTCTGAACACAGTCTTCGCAAATACGTGTATAGTTTGAAAAGGCTGACGTGTTGTTACGAAAATTAGTACATTCACTTGTACTAATTTCGCACGTTTGTCTGACAGCGCTGTTCATATGGACAATGACAAAGCTATTATTGCTAATAATCATCTTCGCTACTTTAACGATGTTGATAATGGCAGTAATAACAATAATAACAATGATGACAATAATAATAGAAATTATAATACTAGCATTCATAGTGATGTTGATGATAATGTTGATGTTGATGTTGATGATAATGATGATGATTACAGTGATATCAATAACTGCAATGATAACAACAATAGTGATAATGATAGCAGTGATGATGGTGATAAAAATCATCATAATGATAATAATGGTAATGATAATACTAATGAGAGAAATAATAGTAATGATTATTATTATCGTGATAATGATGACAGTAATAGTAATGATAATAATAAAAAAAATATAATAATAATAATGATAAAATTATAGTAATACTAATAATAATGATAATGAGGTATGTAGACAATAATGACAATGATACTGAAAATGATAATGATAATGATGATAATGGTAATGATAATAATAACAATAATAGTAATGATGATGACAATGATGATAGTAATGAAAATAATGGTAATAAGATAATGATGGTAATGCTAATAATAAGAGTAATGATGATAATAATAATAATAATGATTATAATGATAAAAACAATGATAATTTCTGTTATTATTACTACTACTATCATTATTATCAAAATCATTATAGTGATAATAACAATAATGATAATAATAATAATAATGATAATAACGAGGGTAATAATGATAAGGATAATGATGACGATAGTGATGATGATGATATTGATGATAGTAATGGTAATATCAATGATAATGATAACGATAATAACAACAGCAACAATAATAACAATAGTGATGATAATAATGATAATGACAGTAATGACAGTGATAACAATAATGATAATAACTTTACTTATACACCTGCTCCCTTTTTAGAGGTTTCGAGCGCCATGCAAAACCGCCCCCATATCCTCTCAGTCTCACTCTCTGCTTCCAGGTGTTGGAGGAGGCGGACGTGGACTGCGACGGCCGCCTCTCCCAGTCCGAGTTCATCCACGTCATCCTCAAGTGTCCGGACTTCGTGCCTAATTTCCACATCAGGATCTGAGTTATTTCAGCGGTCGTAGGCAAACGGAGGAGCAGCTTAGCCGGATATTTTTTCTTTTGCTATTTATTTTACTGTGTTTATAATCAGCTATGGGTAAACACAACGTAAATTTATATTACATAGGAGTTTTATTTTATAATCCTTTTACTGTGTTGAATATTAATCGATCTTTTTATGCCAGAAAGAATCAAGACAATATTACTGATATGAGGCCATAGAATATATATCAAACAGATGATGACTGCTATGTTTACGTAATATTCATAATGCCATTAAGAAAAAGTGAAAAATGGACATTAAGATAAGGTACTTACTGGATTTAAAAGTTTAATAAATCCTAAATAGTGCCGATGAAGTATTGATTACAAATCATTTAATAGATGAATATAACGATGAATAGAAAATATAGAAAATAATCACTTATATCATATTCATTCAATAATTGTCATAAAACTGTTTATAATGCTAAGCCTTTATATGTCAAAGCAATATTCATACGATTCATGGAAAATGAAATAAATATTATCGTAATCTTATAAAGAAAGAGCAAGCGTCAGTAAACATGGCAGGAAGGGAAAGGAAAAAGCAGCATTCGAAAATATAATCATCCCAAACTCTGTAATAAGACGTAAATAGATATGATTGATGTGCGCAACACACACACACACACACACACACACACACACACACACACACACACACACACATACACA